AAAAAAAGGAGAGGGCAGAGGAGCCACCATGCCTGGTACTGGATGCTAAAAAAAAAAAAAAAGACACTCTGTGCCGATGAAGGACCACCTCAGTTCGCTCTTAAAAAAAAAAAAAAATGAACTAGACAAGGACTCCTCCACTATTTAGGCGCTACAGAAAAAAAAAAAAAAAGTATTTGTGGCAGAGCAGCTGGTCCTGGCAGCACCTTGGGAAAAAAAAAAAAAAACAGGGGCAGTTGTCCCAATATTTTTGTCCCAGCGTCAGCTAAAAAAAAAAAAAAACACAAGCACAACAGAACAGGCCAGATCCCGAAGCATGGCCAAAAAAAAAAAAAAATCCACGGGGCACCACGCCTGGCAAGGCAGCGGGGCAGAGGAAAAAAAAAAAAAAAAGAGCAGTAGGGGCAGGCACAGATGCCCGGTAATGGGTTTAAAAAAAAAAAAAAACAAGCAACCAGGTGTCCTTGGGTGGGGGCTGCCCCTGGCAAAAAAAAAAAAAAAAGTGAAATCTTGCAGTGGCCCCAACCCAGGAACACACTGTGAAAAAAAAAAAAAAACGTACCACTAGAGCCCTGGGGGTGCCTGAGAGCACCTGCCAAAAAAAAAAAAAAAAGGTGACAAACCAAGGTCAGGAAGTAATAGCACAATTGCAAAAAAAAAAAAAAAACAAATGGCCTGGGGCATTCATCCTTTCAGCAAATGTCCATAAAAAAAAAAAAAAACATGAACTTCAGCAATCCTTAGCTTTTATTCTTTTTCCAGAAAAAAAAAAAAAAACTCTGTGTAAAATATTAACACAATATAAGAATGTATCAAGAAAAAAAAAAAAAAATGTCCCCCCTCATTTTACATCTCCAATTCCACTCTCCAGAAAAAAAAAAAAAAAATGTTTTTATTTTTCTTTTTGTTTTCAAACAGAGTCTTGCTCTGTTGCCCAGGCTGGAGTACAGTGGCTTGATAGCTCACTGCAACCTCCGCCTCCAAAAAAAAAAAAAAACTCCTGCCTCAGCCTCCTAACTAGCTGAGATTACAGGCATAAAAAAAAAAAAAAAGGTAATTTTTGTATTTTTAGTAGAGACGGGGTTTCACCATAAAAAAAAAAAAAAACTCGAACTCCTGACCTCAGGTGATCTGCCCATCTCGGCCTAAAAAAAAAAAAAAATTACAAGCGTGAGCCACCGTGCCCCGCCAATCATTTTTAAAAAAAAAAAAAAAAATCTTCTCAATTTTATGTGCATATGTATCTATATATATAAAAAAAAAAAAAAAAAAGACACTGTCTTCTAAGCAAAAATAGGCTGAGTCTTCATACAAAAAAAAAAAAAAATTTCACTTAACACCTTATCACATTATATATGTCAGTATGTAAAAAAAAAAAAAAAGAACAGCTATATAGTATTCCACAGTTTGAGTATAATAAACAAAAAAAAAAAAAAACCTATTTTTCACTCTTACATTGTGCAGTGAACATCCTTGAACATAATTCTTGCACACCGGTCTGAGTATTTGTGCTGTAGCCGCTGGATCTCCTGAAAAAAAAAAAAAAAGATCATGAAGTTGGCATATCAAAATGTTTAACAGGCTGGGAAAAAAAAAAAAAAATTGCAATGCAAGCACTTTAGGAAGCTGAGGCGGCTAGATCAAAAAAAAAAAAAAATTCGAGACCAGCCTGGCCAACATGGTGAAACCTCATCTCTAAAAAAAAAAAAAAAAAATTAGCCAGGCATGGTGGTGCATGACTATAATCTGAGCAAAAAAAAAAAAAAATGCATGAGAATCACTTGAACCTGTGTGGCCGAGGTAGCAGAAAAAAAAAAAAAAACCACTGCACTCCAGCCTGGGCAACACAGTGAGACTGTCTCAAAAAAAAAAAAAAACTTTAACAGA